CGCGCCGCCGCGTCCTGCAGCCCGCGCCTCGCGGGGAGTTGTCGCTCGGGCGTCTTTCTGAGCTTCTAGGACGGACTGGAGAAGCAACCTCGTCTAGGTGAGTAGTGGTTATCCACATCTCATGAGCTTGGAGGGAAGCTGGAAGTTAGCGGGGATGAGAAACCACACAAAGGCAGTGGGGCAAGGTAACTCCAGTCGCCGGATGGGGGCTGGGGCAATCCTAGGAATCTGTTCCCCCGACCTGCTTCTCCAGCCTTCCATCCACTCTCACCCAGGCACAGACCTAAAGAAGTACTTGCTGGGCTGATACAGGCGAGGGCAGGTGTTGCGGCTCGGATTTTCTTTTTTTCCAGGCAGCTTTCAAACAAGCTAAACTTGTTTTTGTAATGCTTGACTCCGACTTCCTCATCTCAAGGCTGAAGAATTTACACAGGAAAGTAGAATCTGTTGTACTTGTATAATGGACTGCTATACAGCACTTAAAAAGAGGAAATCAGCACTATAGGGATTAGCATGCTTGTACTTAAATCTCTGAAATACTTTGGTAAATGAAGACAGCAAGATGTAAAAATATATATAGATATATATACTTCACGATGCCTCTTCCACGGCTTATGAATGTAAAAAAAAAATCACAGAAGGGAGCATGCACACCAGATTTTATGATCATGTCTGTCGGAAGGCAATCGATCTGGCATGTGGAATAATGTGAAATGGTGTTGACTTGTAGTCCTGATATCGAAAACTAATAAAGCAAAGTTGGAAAAAATATAAATTATTGACTGGGAGAATTGCTAACTTGGACATTTTCGTATTTCCTTTCTCTCCTGCATTTCTAATTTGTCCTTGCCTTAAGAAGTTGTGTTTTATCTAATGCAAAAATAAAGTATGTCCATGCCCATATTGTGGCAATGAAGTCTAAACCATTCTCTCAGAAATGTACACTTTCTGTCTCCTTGATATATTCTCTCCCATTCTCCTAGAATTGGAATCCTAAGTTTCCAGGGAGATTTAGGGGCTCAGAGAAGCCCTCCTCCTGACAGGCCCCCAAAGCTGAAATGTTGGCATTAAGAAATTTGTCTACATGAGTAGACAATGATCATTGCCTGGGTCAGGGTAGACTCTGAACACTCCCTGTGTTACTGCGGGAGGAATAGCTCTTCCTTTTATGTTTTCCTATGCTTTGGATTTCATTTCCATGCATTCTGACTGTGTTCTTGGTGTCTATCTAATGCTTCGGGCATAGAACTAAGAGCTGGGGGAAAGGGTAGAGGGTTAAGGAGGTTTTGTACAGAGCCTCACAGTTGCATTTAGCTCTACTCAGCAGAATGGAAAGAATGGAGTTCTGTTTTCCTGCCAGTGAAGGGTTGATTTCTTCCTGGATATGAAAGTGATTTAATTTTTATTACCCACATGGGGAAGAAAAAGACCAATCAGTTCTAAGTGGGATTGTGTGTGTGTCAAGTACAATAGAGGAAGAGGATATTAAGCCACCACCCAATACTTCTCTTTGCCTGTCCTTATATTTTAAGAGGGTTCCCCTTTGGTACATTTTCTTTCCTCTTAAAAAATAACTGGATATGTGGTCAACAAGATTTTGCACACTAGAATGAAACTCAGAAATGTTGAAAATCTCAACAATACTCCTGCCAATCTCTGCATCTGCAGTGTGCAAAGTCAATGCCTGGTATCAGGAAGATGAACTACTAGAGGAAAAATTCCAGGTGTAAAGAAAATTATATAAATAGTAGTACTGTGTTCTTGCTGTGAAAGCTTCATGTACTAGGATTATAAATACAAAATAAATAGGCTGTGGCCCAAGTCTGCAGTCTTTAAAATGCATGGTTGGTTTAGAACCAATTCACTTTTCTTAATTCTTTTGACAGGGTTTTACAGGATGTGAATTTGACTTTTTCTGGATTCTAATAACACTCAAAGGGCACTGGATTTGCTTCTTAACCCCCAGTAAAGCAGAAAGAGCATCCTATGGCTTCTTCTGAATTCCTTTTTCTACCATAGTTAAAAGCGTTTTGATTTTTTTAGCCTACAGAGACAGTGGGGCACTTTCTACCTTCCTGAATCTCAATAATCCCACTGAGCTTCCTTTAGCCACCTGTTACACCTGCTCCCTTCCTTTACCCATTAATTGGTTGCTTCCTAATTGCTGACTCTCCCCGCCCCCTTCCATTTAATGACTTTTTAAAGTCCACAAGGCACTTTGCCAGCAATTGGCTTTTAGTATGAAAAGTAGCAATTCTTTAATTAATCTGCCTTCCAAATAAAGACTTTACTTAACATTTTTCCTGATGGAACAAATGACCCATTCTTCTACACATCTTTAGAGGCTTCTCAAATCCTTTTTTTCTATAATTGTTCCATAACTCAGGTTATCCTGGACACCTTTGCTAATTCTACTTCCAATCTGCGTTTCCTTCATGTGTAAAAAGTCTTAAGTGATGTATGTCCATCACCAAGTATAAATGATAAAGTTAAAATAAGGAAATATTGTTCTGTGAAAAATAACAGGTCCTAATAATTATTTTTTGCATATTATTTCTCAGGGATGGAGTTAATTACCCCACGTTTTGTCCAGATAACTATATTCATGAGCCATATTTGTCCCAAGCATGAAATTTTTTGTTATATACCTGAGCTTAATTTGAAATCATGATTGTATAAAACTTGGATATTTTCCCTGTTTTGGTAGATGTGAAGCTGTGGTCTACTGGTTTCATATTTTTGGTTGGCAACAATAATTCTATGCCAGTCATGGGACTAGTACTCATTATCTGGATGCTTTCCCTGAGCTTTTTTTCCTCAGAGTTAGCACTCTGCCATTTGAACAACAGCTCTATGCCTATCTTTTTGGTTGTTAATTGGCAACAAGAGGTTCATTCCTGGGCTAGCTTCAAACTAAGATCCTCAGATCTCAGCCTCCAGAGTAGCTAGGAATACAGTTGTGAGCCACCTGCTTCCAGCTGGCAGCAATCTCTTGATCTGAGCACAGTTACTTCTTTCAGATGAAGCCAGATTGCCCCTGGCCCTCATAGTGCACTAATACCATATACATGGTCAGTTTGCTTATTTGCATGAGCTTCCTGGTTCTTACAGCTATCTGAGCTGGTGATTCCTGAGGAAGGCTCTGATATTCCCCACTCCCATTCTAGTGGCCACTCATCCACTTTTTAAAGGGAGTTTTACTACTCAGATAAACTCATTTAATTTGAGCTTTTGAGTAATCAACAATTGTTTAGTAGTTTTGTTGTAAAAATATGATCTATTGAATTAAATGTATATTGGTGTGTATGCACACAAATCAGCACATAAAGACAAATGTAGTTAGAGCTGAATGTGGTGGTACAGACCTGTAATCCCAACATAAGGGATTAAATTCTATGGTCATAGTCCAGTGATGGTGGCTCATGCCTGAAATCCTAGCTACTCAGGAAGCCGAGATCTGAGGACCATGGTTTGAAGCCAGCCCAGGTAAGAAAGTCCATGAGACTCTTATCTTCAGTTAAACACTCCAAAAGCTGGAAGTGAAGCTTTGTCTCAAGTGGTAGAGCACCATCCTTAGGCAAAGTGTAGTTCATGGAGGGTGCCAGGCCCTGAGTTCAAGCTCTCGGACCATCACAAAAAAGAAAGAAAGAAAGAAAGAGAGAGAGAGAGAGAGAGAAAGAAAGGAAGGAAGGGAGAGAGAGAAAGAGAGAGGGAGGGAGGGAGGGAGGAAGGAAGGAGAGAAGGAAGGAAGGGAAGAAGGAAGGAGAGAAGGAAGGAAGGGAGGAAGGAAGGAAGGAAGGAAGAGAGAGAAAAGAGAGGATAAAGGAGAAGGAGGAGGAGGAGAAAGAGAAGGAGGAAGAGGAGGAGGAAGAGGGAGGGAAGAGGATGAGGAGGAGGAGGAGGAGGAGGAGGAGGAGGCAGTGGCGGAGGCAGCATGTTTAAGGCCCAGTGCCTGGAGCTAATATCTGTTTCCTAAGTTATTCAGAAGGCAGAGTAGTGGTTCAAAACCAGCACAGGCAGACACATCTGAGAGACTCCATCTCCAATTAACTAGCAAAACATATGGGCTGGAAGTGGTAGAACAATGAAGTTCAGCCATGAGCAATGAAGCTCAGCAAGCATGAAATCCAGAGTTTAAACTCTACTACCACAAAAAAAAGAAAAGAAAAGGAAAAGAAAAAAAGGAAAAAAAGAAGCATATTTAAAGAAATTGAGCCACTTGCTGGTGTGGTGAAGCCTAATTTAGAGCTTGTTCCTTTTATGGTGTGGTACTTTCCATAGCAGGGGAAAGACAGGCAAGTACATTTTTATGATGAAGGAAATTAAAGTTGTTGGTCACGCAGCCAAAAGGAAAATCTGCAATGAGCATATCTTCTTAAAAATATAGAAATTCACCAATGTTATTTTTATTTTAGAGTTGTTGAAGTATTGCTCACCTTGTTTTCATGCACCGAGGAAATATTTTTGCTTTCTTCCTGCTTTGTAAGTTCAAACATGTTGCTGTTTTTACTGATGAAGCCATGCATTGGGTTCTCCCCTGGATTGATGTTGTTGTTGGTGGTGGTGGTTTATGATAGTAATTAGGCTTGAACTTGGGGCCTCAAGTTCTAAATTGGTTTTTCACTCAAGGCTGGTGCTCGTATTGCTTGAGCCACACCTCTACTTCTGGCTTTTGGGTGGTTAATTAGAGATAAGAATCTCATAGACTTTTCTACTCAAGCTGGCTTCAGTCCTTGACCTTCAGATCTCTGCTGAGTAGCTAGGATATCAGGCATGTGCCACCAGTGCCTGGCTTGGCTTGATGTTTTATTGTTAATAAATTCATAATATTCAAGGATAGAAATTTTGATTGTAGTGATATAGATTAGACTAATAATTTTAGACTTAATCTATATCTAAGACATCTATTCTATTCCTTGATATAAGAGTAACATTGCTTTTATTTTTCTTCTAGATACACAACTGTTTCTGGAACCTCTTTTGAGCTAGGACGAGAACACTACAGGATAATGTAACTGGAGGGCCCATATTAGAGCAGACTTGACCATGGGAGCCAACACGTCAAGCAAACCACCAGTGTTTGATGAAAATGCAGATGGTAAGACAGGCTAGATCCTGAACATCAAAAACTGGAAGTTCGTGAAATTCAAATACACGCTCCGAGTTTTACATGTAAAATGTAAGCATGATCTACATGTAAAGTGTGGGCTTTAAAGAAAAAGGTAAAAATGCAAGAGTAAACTGAAGGATTCTCTGTGCTAATAGCTGGGTTGTATTCATTTATTTTCTGAGAGACCTCTGGAAGTTTTCTTAATTGAAGCTGTACCAGGGTGCTCACTTGTCCAAAGGGAACAGTGTTTCAAGTATGTGATGGCAATGGGGTAGTTCATTTATCGAATAAACAAATGTTGCTTCTTTCACAGAGGACATGACCACCATTTCTAAGTGTTGCAGAAAATTCCTTATAGTATCAGATTGTATGTGAATAATAATCGGTACTCATGATATTAAGAAACCCAGCTACTCCAGGTGGGTGACTTGTGGACTTCCAATGGCTGTGCTTCAGTTCCAAGACACAATTCATCACCTGAGTTTATATTGAAAGAAGCCCCTGGGGATGGTGGCTTATACCTGTAATATTAGCTCTCAGGAGGATGAGATCCAAGGATTATGGTTTGAAACCAGCCCAGGTAGGAAAGTCTGTGACTCTTATCTCCAAGTAACTACTACAAAGCTAGATATAGAGCTGTGGCTCAAGTGGTAGAGCACTAGTTTGGGGCAAATATTCCAAACTAAGATTATATCCCTCAACCACATAAGTACAGTTGATCCCTAAGCATGGCAATCTTCTAGTTTGCCCCTTTTTTGTAACAAAAAGTACTTATTTTCAGAAGGTTCATGGCCACCCAAGATGAAAACTTCCATTTGCTAGTCTGTCATGTAAATAGGCATGTGTATGTGAATGAAAGGGACATGTAGAGCTGTAAAGATCTTAACATTTTTCCCATTGCTATTTTTTTCTCTTCCTTTGCTTTAGCAAGTATTGTAAACAAGCCTCTGGAGTCTGGAGATGCTCCATGATTTTTCCATCCCTAAAACGAAAAGACAAGTAGACTTGCCTTTTATTAATCTGGTGCATTGTGCTCCATGTATATTCTGAACAAATGTTTGCATAAGGGCAAGTCTTCATAGAACAGAGCAAAAGGGAGCTAGCAGTTTGTGGGGATACTACACATTTGATGGTGCTGGTGTAGGTGTGTGCTGAGAATACACAGCCAGTCCTTCTCATAGGGAGCTGAATGAATCATGACAACTACACACTCAATGGATCATGACAACTAGAAAAGAGGCACTGCTTTATAACTGCCTCCAGTGGACTTGCAAAACAAACAAAGAAACAAAAAACAATGTTGAACTAGAGTTAGGCTTAAGAACCAGGCAAGTCTTTCTTAACAACATATATCATAACAACCTGCTATCTTTTTGTTGTCTACTGCTGCATCCGGTGGAAGAATCCATTGAAATATCCATAATGGAGAGGGCTGAGCCTAGCAATGGGCCCATGCTTCCTGCAGTACTAGCTTCCAAACTCCACACACACACACACACACACACACACACACACACACACACACACTTGAGAGCAGAGGAAAGAGAAGGGCAGGTTCACACGGTAAGAAATAAAGAACAGTGGAGGAACCAAAATAGTCTCACTCTGTCTCTCTGTAGCCTGTGTCCTCATGAAAGAGGGCAAATAGACAAGTAAACAAATGAATGAACCACCCAGAAAATTTCAGATGGTGTTACAACGTCACTAAGGAAGTAAGTGACCAGGCATGTTTAGAGTTGATCAGGGAGGTGAGATTTGAAGCCTCAAAAGTTGAGGAGCTAGCTCTGTGAAGATAGGAGTTGACTAGTTCAAACACAGAGAAAGCAAGTCCAAAACTCAAATCATGACAAACCTGGGCATGAATGGCTGCCTCTATCCTATCATTCTCTGACCAGTGTGGCTGTATTTAATTGACACATTAATATGGTTATAAGGTTGTTGAATTTATTTTTTTAATTCAGTACATTCTGGAAAGTTCATTTGGCTCCTTGGCTCCTCTGGATACAGTACAAAATACATTTTTATTTGATTGCTGAGGAAATTCTGACCAATAAAAATAAGAACAATGAGAAGCATTGATTAATTCGAGAGTCCTAATGTCTGTGTCATTTTTATATCCATATTTTTGTATGAATAATCACACTGGACCTGAATCTAGGGCACTAAAATGAACCAATTTAATTATTTAAATAGTACTGTGAAAAAGAATTCCAGTTTGTAATAAACAATTATTGGCTATTTCCTTCAAGAGATTTGAGAAGAAACTCAAGCCAATTTGCCCAAAGTAATGTTTCAAAAATCTCTTTCTAACAGAAAAGTGTCTTTGTTCATTTCACTTATAATTAAGAAATAAGATACCTTGTTCTGGATGCCCCTTGAGATAAGCGATTCTTGCTAGAATTCAGCCTAACACTTGTCTTTCTTGGTGTTCTGATATCTGATCTTGCAATATCATCTGTTGTTAAAATGTTGATTTTTGGGGGGAACACATGAGGTTTACAATGCTGGTAAACAGACAAGTAGTAGTATATTTGCTTACTGTTGAGCTCATTTTCTTTCTCTTCTTTTCAAATGATAATGTGATTTTGTGGCCTTAGCTTTTATATCTCAGTGCATACTTAAGTCATAATTATTTATTTTTATTGTGGCAAACATACACACACACGCACACACACACACACACAATCCACCAGTACAAGAGTTTGAACTCAGGGCCTCACACTTACAAGGCAGGTGCTCCATCACCTGAGCCACATCCTTAGCCGTTTCAGTTTCTGTTTGTTTTTTTAATTTGTTTGTTTTTGTTGTTGTTTTAACAGAGTGTTGAGTTTTGTCTGTGCAGCCTGGACCATGACTCCCCTGTTTACACATTCTTAGCATAGCTGGATGAAAGACATGCCAGCATGCCCAGCTCTCTGTTGAGATGAGTCTTTCTAACTTTTTGCCTAGATTGACCTTGAACCATGAACCTCCTGTTTATCTATCTATCCTTGAGTAGCTGGGATTACCCATGAGCCACCACACTCAGTCCACTTTGATGATTTTAAATGTCCAAGTCTAAGGCATTAAGTGCTTACATGCTGTTAACACTCATTACCACTACTCATCTATTGACATTTTCCATCTCCCCAACCTGTAACTTATACCTACTTTGCCATAAATTTCCTATTCTCTGGTTCAACAAGCCCTTAACAAGCAGCATACGACTTTGTTTCTATGAATTTGAATATTCTTAGAACTTGATATAAATGAAATCATATCAAATTTAACCTTTTGTGGTTGTTTTTAAGATTCAGATATGTTCTGGCATGTGTCAGAATTCCCTTCCCTTTGAAAGCTGACTAATAGTACATTTTATAACTATTTTGTGTTTTGTTTATTTTTCCAGCACTCAAGTAACATTTGTTTTTTCCCACTGTTTGATTATTGTGAACAATTTTGCTTAAAAATATTGGCAAACAGATGTCCATTTATGTCCCTGTTTTTAATTCTTGTGGATACTTACCTACAAGCAAAATTACTGAAGCATTAATACTTATTATTTAATTTTTAATACTATATTCTTTCTAGTTGTGTTAACATGGTTTTATAGTGGGAGAATAACAGACTAAAAATATCAATATCTTTCTGATATTAGAATGGTTCAAAGATTTGATATCTACAAATCTCAACTTTCCACATACTATTGATCTGCATCTTTCTATGACAAAAAATAAAAGGGAAGTGTTTTGATCAATCATGATTAAACACTTCAGTCAATGTGACTAGTTAGAAATTGCTCTGAAGTGGGGGGGGGTACCATAAAAAAAATCTCCAAGCCTGAATCATTACTAAGAAATTAATTCAGAGAGACAGTTGGGCAAGTTATTTGATTGCAATAAGTTTCACCTTTGTTACCTGTATTGTGCAAAATATTTATTTGTAAAATACAAGTAATAATGATCATACTTTACTGAGTAATTGTGAGGATTAAGGAAAATAATGCAAAGGTGTTCCTCATAAAACAACTTTTAATTAGTAATATTTATTTGCATCAGAGTAACTAAGCATGAACTCTTTGAAATACTTTAACCTCCCAAAGAAATAAAGTTTATGAAATACAACTTTTTGGACAACATAGTGAATATGATCTACATATAATTCTACTGATTGAATTGGATTCAATTAGATTATGTAAAAAACGTTTAAAAGTCCTTTATAAGAAGCCAAGTTATTGAATGGACAAAAACACTTTTAACTTCTAACTTCTCTGGGGCTTTCTGTTCTCTTTCATTGTTTTTCTCTCTCATCCTCTCTCTCTCTCTCTCTGTCTCTCTCTCTCTTCCTCCCTCCCTCTGTCCCTTCTTATTCTCTTTCTTTTTTTTCTTTTCTTTTGTATGATACTAGAACTTGAACTCAGGCCCTTGCTCAGCTTTTATTTTGTGTGTGTGAAAATACCATATAGAGGAGTTACAATTACATGGGCAAGATAATGAGTACATTTCTTATCAAGCATTGTTGCCTCTCCTTTGTTTCTCCTTCCCATCCCTTCCCATCCCCCCCCACTCCCCCCGCCAGCCAAAGTTGCAAAGTTTGTTTTTCGACATAACGACTTGTACATCTCATTGTTGCAATGGGTCCACCTGTACCCCTGCCTCGAGTTCTTACTGGTTAATTGGAGACCATAATCTCTTGTCTGACTTGAAATCTTGATCTCAGACCTCAGCCTCCTGAGTAACTAGTATTACAAATGAAGCCACTGATGCCTAGTTTTGTTTTTTTTTAAACTTTAAAACTGGTAAATAATTCCACTTGATGAACAGACACAATGAAAAGTTGTCCCCTGTACCTACCTTACTAAATGGAATAATTCCATAGTAAAACATTTTGAGGTTTTTTTTTTTAAAGGAGTATAGTTGAGTCTTGTTTTTAAAATTCACGTTTTCCCCTTAAATCCACTTTATTTTCCAAGTTCACTGTTTATGTTTTATTAGGTTGTTGCTTGTTTG